TTCCCTTTAACTATTCCCTCTAACTCACCCTACCTATACTTTCTTATTCGGTATCAATTTTGAAGTCTGAATTTTTATTTTATGAAGTCAAGGAATTTTATTTAGTGTACTATAATGCAACCTGGTCTAAATAAGTTTTTAAATGCATGAACACATAAATGAAGGAATGCAATAGTTGAAATTATCTTGAACCTTATTTGATTTTTTAAAGAAACATTAGTATAGAAGTTTCTATATTCTGTTCTAAAATTATTTCAAACTGTAATTGTGAAATTATTTTGTGAATAAAAATTATGTGTTTTGAACTGCTTTCAAGAGTTTCCTTTAAAAAAGATAAATATCTGTTTCTAGAGGGTTAAACTCAGAGGGAAAGAAATATAATTATGGAAAAATCAGGTTCCCTCTCTCTCCATATTCCCTACACAAGCATTCTTCGACACATTTTAATTTTATTTAAAAAGAGTTCTCAAACAAACAAACAAAATGAAGTATACTGCCATTAGTCAATACAGACTCATAGTGACCTTATAGGACAGGGTAGAACTGTCCCTGTGAATTTCGGAAACTATTGATTTTTTATGGGAGTAGAAAACCCCGTTTTTCTCCAAAGGAGCCACTGGTGATTTCGAACACTGGATCACAGGCCATCTTATAGCCACTATGCTGCCAGAGCTCCTTAAATACATTTTTCTTTAATTGCATGGTAAAGAAGAAGAAGATGGAGGAGGAGAAGGAGGAGAAGAAAGAGGAGGAGGAGAAAGAGAGGAAGAGGACGGAATTTTGACCGCTAGAACATTTCACCTTTCTAGCAAGGTTTCAGGTGTATGATCAATTGGTGTGACTGGAATACATATTGAAAGGCCTGAAATAAAGGGGAGCCAAAACGTAGCCACAGTGTTGATCTTGGATATATTGACACGCACTTGAACCGGGAGACCAGAGTGAAAAAGGACTCAGCTTAATAACAGAGCACTGGCGTCCAGCTCCAACCACCACCTGTGTTTCTTCCTTATTATGGCAAACGATGATTCTACCAATGATAAGTCTTCCATAGGTTATTTTCACGTTATCAAAAGTTACTAGCCTGCCATTCATAAAACGATATTTTTGATTTTCCACATAATCCTCGCTAAAGAAAATACAGTAACAAAAATGAAAGAATAAAGGGAAATAAACTCCATTACCTAGGTGTACAAAGCCAATATCCACATACAGTTTGGCACATAAGGAACCTAGTAGGAAGCCAAAAATCGGTCCTATAATTGCAACCGTCTGCACACACCCTAAAAAAGAAAGAAAGCAAAAGCTATTGTTTTGTCTGATTTTATAAATTAGCAGCTTCTTAAACAAGAAATGTGAGCTAGCGTTAGCAGTTAAAAAATACATCGGTTTCTCATTTGGGTTCTTAATTTATCAATTTCATCAGGAAATGAATTCTTGTTTGCTGGGAGGGAAGAGTGAACAGCTTTGAAGGCACTGATTATCTCTTAGTAAGAAAATAACACCTAGAATCTGACAAAGCCAATTTCAGAAAATGCAGAGAAATGTATTCTCTAGGATTTGATCCTCTACTGATAAAAATCAGAATTTTACTAATGCTGACAGCCTTTCAAAAAAATTTTTATGGTCAGCTACATTGCAGACTTGATTGAACAAAAACACTGATTTCTTCCATGTAAGTGAAAATGTGCATGCCTTCACTCCGGGTTTCTCCGGGGCCATTTGGGGGAGCAGTGCTTGAGCCGATCCCTAGAGGCAGCTAGCAAGGGAAGGAGGCTTTTGAACGGGAGAAGGGGCTGCTCTCAGCACACTGAAGCAGCCTAGACGTCCTTGACAATTGGAGCAGACTGTCTGACTGACACTATTTCTAGGAACTAGCGTTTCCCCGCGAGATGTCTCCTCTTTGCCTTTCATGTTCCTGCAGTTTAATACGCCCATATTGCTGGGAGAGGTAGTTGTCCATTTGAATGAACTGGAGGAGTAAATAGCGGACATCAGAGCCTTCCCTGGATCTGATAGCGAGCAACAAAAGGAAGCAAGCAGGCTCTGGTCTTTGACAGGAAGGCAATTCCTAGGTTCATTTGGCTGCAACTCTTGTCCCCAGAGTCATTTCTTAGCACATGTAATGGAGCTTCTGTTCCGCTTCCAGCGCCTGCTGTGGACTGACGTTTCTGCTGGAGCCAGACCCTTGTTCTTAGCCACAGCCTACTTGGCTAGGATCAGAGGCTTCCAAGAGTCCTCGCGTGTCAAGCCAGAACCGGATGGTGCAGTTGTTTTTGCTATCGCTCCTCGATTAACTTAAGTCTTGGTTTTCTTTCCATGAATTTGAAGCCCACAAATGATCCCAACCCGAGAAATTACTACCAACGTGAGAGAGCAGCTCTTTGTCACCCTGAATTTTACACTGTTTAAGTGCATCTGACTTTGTTTACTATTATTTTGGTTTTTGTTATTTTAGCCACTAGCCTACCCACGGGGACCTCCAGAGACCTGAGACCTTGCTCTTGGATTTTCTCTATTTCCTCCTGGTGACTGTTGAGATTCCAGAATCCCTTACCTTCCATCATTCATAGAAAAATGAAATAAAAATTAAAAAGCTGCTTTACAAAATCAGGTCTTGTAAAATGGGGTCCAGTTTCTAGGATTTGGAAAAAATACGTATACAATGTTAAAGCTGAATACTATAGCAGGATAATCATGTGGGGATAAGGGCCCACGGCATCGCAAGTGCACAGAGGTGAGGATAACTAAAGGAGGTCCCATACAACACTGAGGTTCAATTCATAACTATTGTTCAATTTTTAAAAAGGTTTTTTTTTTTTGTTTTAAAGTTTTTTTTTTCTGGTTCAGGTATCATCTCATCCGATTTTTAAGAGTGTACTTCCAAATTGGGTGGCCTCAATAAAGTCGCTGGGTGTGAAGTATAAAACGTTCAATGCTCAATGTGGTTTCTAATGGAACAGGAGAAACCAGGTGCACTGACTTTCAAGAGGCTGAGTGAGGGGGTTACCGATGTAGAAGGCCGCATTGTCTTCATGGGCAAAGTCATCCAGGTAGGTGATGCCCAGAGGCTGGATGGGGGTTTCTCCTATCCCCCGAAGAAGATTTCCCAGGAAAACATAAACCCACATGGAGGAACCGGCATCCGTTTCACATTCTTAAAAGGAAGCAAACACGAGGTTTGGAATTAGATGGATAGCAAGGTTAAAAATGGAGTCCGCATCGCAACAATTTACTTTACTGAATTGCAACAATTTGCTTTACTTTATATTAGATTATAGACGTGAAATCTGTAATAAAAAACAAAACGCAAACTCACTGCCACCGACTCGATGCCTACTCATTGCGATGGTGTAAGACAAGGTAGAGCTGCTCTGCTAGGCTTCTGGGACTGGGACTCTACTGGAGTCGAAAGCCCTGTCTTTCCCGCAGGGAGAAGCTGGCGGTTTCATAACTTATTATAATATATGAGTTTGGGCAAGATTAGAAAACGCTTTATAACTTTAGATTTTATGCAGTATGAAGACCCCGAATTCTGACTCAGGAACTCTACATCATTTCTTGTTCCTGTTCCTTTTAATGCTCATTTTCTCTCTTTCTTTTCTTCCAACACTGAGTTCTTTGAATTCTTATATTCTAACAACTCTTAGTATCTTCTTAGGGACAAAATACAAAAGTATAAACAAAACTTTACTCGTGTTACATCATAAAAATACTTCCATTTTCAGCAAAAATCAAGTTTCATCAAAAATTCAAAAATTCCTATGACTAGTACTCTCAATTGGACAGTCTTGTTCACAGTTATATCTGTTTTATAGTGAGAACGGTGAATCTTTCTGCTCTCTTAAAGATTTACAGTCTCAGAAACACACTGGGGCCACTCAAGTCCGAATTGGCTTGATGCCAGTGAGATTTGAATAGGGAGTAACCATCTTTTTGGACTATGGAAACAAAGTCATGTAAGAATTACAAAGGATTCAATCTGTGGCAAGGATCCCTTGTGGCACAATGGTCAAGTGCTCAGCTGTTACCTGAAAGGTCAGAGGTTCAAACCTGCCAGCGGCTCCAAGGAGCAAAAGAGACAGCAAACTGCTCCATCAAAGAGTACAATTTAGGAAACGCTATGGGGAAATTTTATTCTAGCAAATAAAGTTGCTCTCAGAACTGACTTGATGACACAAAACAATTAGAAATGCATTGGCAATACAGCTATTCTGGTTTTAAAAAAGAGCATTTTGACATTATTTTTTAGAGTAAAATGAAAAGTGAACAGCTTTAAAAGGCTTCTATAAAGGTCATATGCTAATATGACCATGTGAAGTAGGATAATGCTCCCCACATCATAACTTAAGTGTTACTTTAAAGACTTTAGTTATTTTAATAATAGTGATACCATCAATGAGCCCCAACAATAACGACTTTGGAAAATGTCTTCTGTACCAGGCTATTATGGATTGTATTATAAATCCTAATCCCGGTGGACGTATTCTCATTTTGAAATAGGGATTTCTTTGTTATACTATTGAGACCAGATCAGGATAGGGGTGTTTTAAACCAATCACCTTTGAGATATAAAAGAGCAGTTTTGGCGTAGGAAGAAGTGGGGAAATACCTACTATCTGAATACAAAGGAAGCCAATCAACCTGCTTCCAACCCAGGAACTCCAAAGGTGGTTGGCTAGAGACATTTGAAAAGAGAATTTTCCCCCAGCACAGGGAGAGAGCCTCCCCTCCAGCTGGTGGCCTTGGATTGGGAAACCTAGCCTTGGGGATTGTGACAACACTTGTGATGCTCCATTAGAGCAGCACTCAGAAACACAGGCACTTGAATAAATGGCTTACATGCATTACTCAATTGCATCCTCTTCACAATCCTATGAGGTAGGAGTGAGTTCCCTACCTTAAATGCGATGGCCCAGTATGGGCTATTTGAAGAACTGTCGTGAATAATCTCTGTGCAGATGAATATGACTACTGAGCAGTTATGTTGGCTCTAGTCTTGATTCTGCTCCCTTCTTGACATGGAATAAAGTGACCATGCATTTGGCACTTATTTTACCTGGATTTTTATTCCTTTTCTAAACACACGAGGCAAGTTCTTTTCCTACAAATGGACCCTAATATCAATTCTAGCCCTAATATTTTTATGATTCTATGAAGGTAGACATTTTAGTTTTGTGCCACCCAACACCCAACCAAACACTGCCCCTGCATCAGTTCTGATGCCTAACATCCCTGAAGGGCTGGGTCGAGTGGCGCCTGTAGGTTTCTGAGATTGCGCCTCTTTACAGGAGTAGAAAACCTCACGTTTCTCCCTCCAGGTGACTGGTGGCTTTGGATTGCTAACCATTGAGTTATCAGGTCCATGCATAACCCACTACACCACCAACATTGTAGCCACTACTGTCCAATATAATAACAACTAAATTTAATTTAAATTGAATAACATTTCAAATTCAATTCTTAAGTCAAGGTAGCCACATTCAAGTTCTCAAATACATATGTAGCTGGTGGCTTCTATATTGGACAGCACAGATATACAACCGTTCCATTATGAAAGACATCACCTAGTGAACAGCTTTTCTCTATTGAATGGGGAAAATTGAGTTGTGAATGTTGTATTTTTGAGAGAGTCATGTTTATTATATATCCTTCTTTGTCCACTAAACCCAAGGAGCAGGGATTTCAGAGAGTAGTCCCTAAAGAAAAGAGGGGAATTCATATGCTGTATATGATTTGAGTCGTATAAATTGTGAGAAGACTGATAATACCAAGCCTACCCCACGGCAGCCCTTGCTATTCTATAAGCTTCCTAGAGTGCAAGGGAGAAGACAAATTGAGAGAAAGTACTTGGTATTCTTCTAGAGGCTGAACACAGAAATTAAGTAAATTATAGAGGAAAACTCTATTTCTCTCAAATCAAAGGAATGGGTTGGGAATTAAGGGTGCTAAAGTAGGTGTTGTGGTCCATCAGAAACTGCTAGAAGGCCTTGCCAGAGTTACTAGCAATTAATAGTATTTCTTCCTCTGAAATTTGATGGCCATTTTAAAAGGCCTCTACTACTTTATATGCTAGAAATTTTAAGGCGTTACATACAATATTTTCTCAATTTAGGTAGTTATGTTTTTGAAAGCAAAAATAAAATCAAAATATTTGTCACAGCAAGTTTTGACAAAAAGTGCTGACTTAGTCAAATTTAGTTTTTAAAAATTATCTTACCGTTATTCACTTTAGATTGTGGCTTTTCCATGACTGAGATTGGTCGTGGATCATTTGTCTCTGGGAGACATGGAGAGATGCTGAGAGTGGAGTTGGAGGAAGAAGAATATCTCTCATATCTGTACCTACACAAAAAGAATGATTGCTTTATTACAGAGTTATTTGTGTCATGCTTTTAAAAAGTGCATTCGTGCTATGTGGCTTAGTGTATAGCGCCTAATTGAGATGGCAACTATTCCTCTACTTATCACAAAGCCAAACTCGTATTTAACAGCAGAACTTGATAGGTATCCAGAAAGTCTGGATCATAAATAAGAAAAGTGTGGATGTCAGAAGAGACTCTAAAACATGGTCTTAATCATAGAGTAGCTAAAGCAAATGGAAGGAAGGATCAAATCAAGGGGCTGACTAGAAAATTCCAAAGGGCATCTTGAGAAGACCAAGCCAAATATTATAACAAAATGTGTAAGGATCTAGAATTAGAAAACCAAGAAGGAAAACACTCAGAATATCTGAAACAAAAAGAACTCAAGAAAAACTCAAACCTTGACTATGAGCAAGAACCAGGGGAGCAGTTTAAGCTGCATTGAATGCAGCAGCCCCCCCAAAATAAAAAGGCTCCAGAAATGGCCAGAATATCCATTGAAATGTGTCAGAAAGCTGAAGAACTGGAAGCATTCACTTGTCTATGCTAGGAAATGTGGAAGGCAGCTATTTGGCCAACTGACTGGAAGAGATCCATATTTGTACCCATTCCAGAGAAAGGTGGCCCAACAGCAGGCTCAAACTATAGCAGATATCACTGATATTGCACACAAGTAAAATTTTGCTTAAGATCATTCAGCAAAGGCTGCAGCAATACGATGACAGGGAACTGCCAGAAATCCAGGCCGGATTCAGAAGAGGATGTGGAACAAGGGATTGCCGATGTCAGATGGATCGTAGCTCAAAGCAGAGAAGACCAGAAAGATGCTGTATTAGTCTGGGTACTTTGGAGAAACAAATCCACAGCAACTCATATATAAGAGAAAGTTTTATGTAAAGAAAATGTGCATCACGAAAACATCCCAACCCAATGCTGCCCAAGCCCACAAGTCCAACATTAACCCATTAACCCAACACCAGTCCACAGAGTCCTCCACCTGACAAAATAGAGGCAATGATGCTGACTGCAGGAGGAAAGCTGAGTCAGTGAACGGATAAGCATCTCAGCACTAGCAGGGGTCTCCACACGGCTGCTCCAGCACCCAGGGCTGCATCGGGATAGATCCATGTGGCTTCTCCTTGGGGATGTCTTGTAGGAAGTCAATCTTGCAAGCTGAAGCAGGGAACTGCTAAGGCAGCTGCACCTGGTGCGACCATCATAAAGCAAGAGACCCGAGAACTAGAAAGGCGAGGCTCACCACCCATTTATCCCTCCGCCTTTCAATTAGCCCCACAAGTGATTATCGGCCAGGTTGGCACAATTAACTAACTCAGATGGTTACTTGTGTTTCATTGACTTTGTAAAAGCCTTCGACTGTGTGGGTCACAATAAACTGTGGATCAATTTGAGAAGAATGGGAAGTCCAGAACACTTGTTTGTGCTCATTTGGAACTTGGATATGGATCAAGAGGCAGTTGTGTGAACAGAATAAGGGAATACTGCACAGTGTAAAACCAGGAAAGTTCGCCAGCATTGTATCCTCTCACCATACTTGTTCAATCTATATGCTGAGCAAATCATCAGACAATCTGGATTATATGAAGAAGAATGTGGCATGATGATTGGAGGAAGGCTTATTAACAACCTGCAGAATGCAGATGACACCATCTTACTTGCTAATAGTGAGGAGGAATTGAAGCACTTATTGATGCAGATCAAGGATTTTAACCTTCAGCATGGATTACAACTCAATGTAAGGAAGACCCAAATCCTCACAACTAACCAATAAGCAACACCATGGCAAATGGAGAAAAGGTTGAAGTTGTCAACGATTTTGTCTTACTTGGACCCATCATCAATGAAAGTGGTGGTTCAGAGATCAAAAGATGTACTGCATTGGGTAAATCTGCTGCACAAGACCTCTTTAGTGTATTAATGAGCAAAGATGTTACTTTGAAGACTAAGGTGTACTGAGCCAAGCCATGGTATTCACCATTGTATCACATGCATGTGAAAGTTAGGCATTGAAAAAGACCAGAGAATAATCAATGCATTTGAAATATTCTGGAGAAGAATAGTGAAAGTACCATGGAATGGCAAAAGGACCAACCTATCTGTATTGGAAGGTCAGAGTGCTTCCTACAATCATGGATGACAAGACTTTGTCTTACATACTTTCGACATGTTGTCAGTTGAGAACAGTCTTTGGAGAAGGACATCATTTTTGGAAAAGTGTAAGGGCAACACAAAAGAGGAAGGCCCTTAAAAGATAGATGAACACAGTGCCTGCAGTAATGATTTCAGGCTTAGGAACATTTGTGAGGATGGTGCAGGTCCATGCAATGCTGCCTTCTGTTGTGCATAGGGTTGCTATGGATTGGATCTGCCTCCATCACACCTAATCATACTGGGCTAGTTAAAGACCTAGTTTAATGAACAAAGTAAGTTATTTACTTTTGTAAATAACACCAACCACACCTGGGCTAGTTAAAGACCTAGTTTAATGAACAAAAGTAAGTTATTTACAGGGGATAATTTTAATTATAGAAATGTAATCCTTTAGATACAAAGAAGCCACACTTGCTGAGTCATGATTATCTCTGAGTCAGAGAAAAAGAAGTAATTTAACCACTCATGACCAGTTGCACATTTCATTTAGAGATACAGCTTTTGTAGAACAGCTACTAGGCTGATATATGCACGGAGGTTTTGAATAATTTACCGAGATTGTTCCCTGCTTTCCGTTTAGACTCAACTCTGATTCATGGAGACATTACGTACAATACAACATCTATTGTCTACAATATATTAATATATTTCTAATTCTACCATTCTCTTTGTTTTGGGGGTTGTGATGGCAGTTGGGAAGAAGATCCAACGTTAATGGTAAGACTGAGTTTATTCTATCTATAGTCCCTAAGATCCACACTTTCACTCAGATTATCTTTCATGTTATCTACTTCATTAGCACCCTCTTAGAAGGTAGAATCACTGCTAAACGGGTATTACAAGATCATCTTGACACTCATTATGTTCATGCACTATATAACAAAGGGCTACTATATAGTAATTGTCTGCAAAATTAATAGTAAAATCTATTCAGTGTGATAGAATGTATGGGAATATCCTAAAATTTAATTGACTAATGGATTATCATATATTAGTGCTACTTAGTCAATGATTCAATGGGTTCATGAACTCCATTGCAAAGCAACAGTATTTTTTTCTGTGACTTTGAATATCAATGTTTAAGGAAAGAGATTAATCATTTTGTCATTGTTTTACATAGTTCCCTGAGCAAAATAAGCTAAGAGCTATGCAATGGGAAAACTGATTTTCAAACTCTTTGCTCCACAAAGATCATTTTAACATGAAATTTTTGATCAGTATGATTTTCTTTTAAAAATTTAGCATGCATTGTACCAGTGTCTCAAAGTAATTAGAAAAGTGATTGTCATGATGCAGTTTTTATTTTATTTTAAAATTTTATTTCTTCACAGTCCCTAGTAATCACTGATGTTCTTTTTATCTGAGTAGATTTACCTGTTGTAGATATAAAGGAAACCATAAAATATTTATGTATTATTTTGAAATATCTTAATTATTTGAGGTTTCACCATTCAATCTACCAAAAAAGTAATTGTTGTAAACATGACCGCTTAGATTTTGAATAAATAGATTTTATGCTAGTGTCACTGTTTTCATTCAATACTATCTGTGGTATTCTACACCACACACACACACACACACACACACTCAGGAATAAACTCATAATTTTAGTCTTCAGTTTTCTGAGTTGTAAAAAGAAGACTATAGGTGGTGTGTAGCTATGTGAGCTCTGTTGGATAAAGAGGAAAAGAAAGGATGGAACTGAAGAACAGTACTTTGAAAGCCTTTAAATTCGGGATTTTTGTTCTGACTTGCATTCAGATCCCGACTGACATGGTCTTGACCGATGAATGAAATCCTTTCTCCAGAAACATCCCTGTTTCCAAGCTTGCCCTGGCAGGGTCCGTTTTCTAAGCAGAGTCCACACGCTCCTTCAATGCTATGTCAGCTCATGTCATGCTGCTCATCACCCCTCTCCCCATCGGTGTCCTGTCTCACTCAGGGGAGAAGTTAAAGTCCTTGCAACTGTTTCCACGTCACGTGGGCTCTGGAGTGCACATTGCAAGGTTGATGGTTCAAACTTACATCTGTGGGGAAAAGATGAAGCTATCCGCTGCCATCGAGATTCACAGCCTTGGAATCCCTGTAAAGGGTGGCTGTGAGCCATAATAGACTCCAAAACAGTGGGTTGAATGTTGGGTTGACCACTCAGTCTGCCTTACCAATTACCAGCTTCAGCAGCAGCAGCAGCAGCAGTTATAGAAGAACAGAATCTAACACCCGCTGCTGAGTTATTGGATGAGAATCTACATTTCAGCAAGATGCATATCGGGGTCCTAAGATCTCATAAAATATCAGGGAATTCATCCAAGATTGGAAGAAAGTCTCTCCAGATGATTCAAATGTTATCCAAGTTTATAAAACAAGTTTGACATCTTCTCTCATTACCCCTTTACTTTTGTTAAGTGAACTGGGTGAAATAAAAGTGAACCCAGCCTGTGAGAGGAAGTGCCTCATGTACTGGTACTCATGGCTAATAGTAGGTTCTGAGAGACAGAAGGGGAGCCCAGGTGGCATAGTGGGTTGCACATTCGGCTACTAATCACATTTTAAATCTAAACATAACACCTTTATGATGAAACCTTTGCTGGTCATTGGTTCAAACCAAATGGCTTAATTAGCTAAGGAGACTTAATGATAACATACATCAATAATGACACTGCTACTAATAATATCAAGAACCTTAATAGGCATTTTGTGCAAGTTTAGAAGAATGGTGTCTTGATGATTATTTTAAAATGTAGCAACTTGGACCTTTAAAAGTTACGTAATACATCCATGGTCACATAAAACAACCACTGATCCAATTCAATCAATTCACTTTGAAGTCAAGAATGTATTGATCCTTTGAAACCACTTTCAAATTTCAATGCTTTTTAGTGATGAGACACTTTTTGAATTTTGAGCACATATCTACCAAGAAGCCCAATGTATAAAACAGAAAACTATGGCTAAAACTATGGTTATATAGTTAAGGTAATACCTTTATGATTAAACCATCGCTGGTTAGGAGTTAGGCAGAACAGAAGCTCAGTTCTTCAGCCTTCTCCTCAATGCTTTGTCTGCCTATTATAACACCTATGAGGAAGGTCAGTGAGCTAAGGAAACTTCTGCTCTGTGAAAAAGAGATCGGAGGAGTTTGAAGAATAGGCAGGGATCCATAGACACTGATAATGAGTCTGGGAAATCATCCAAGAAACAGTAGGAAATCTGTTCCATAGATTCCACCTTCACCGATCAGTTAGGCAGGTCAAAAGAGATTTGGAAATCCAAAGAAAAGTTTGGGCTAGATCATTTCTAAATGTCCTCCTCTCAAACATGATATGATGCAATGATTAAGAACAGGCAATAGTCAAAGTATGTTCACATTGTATATATTCTCTTGTTACTCACATCTCTAGTGACAACAGAGCAGGGAGGTGGTGATAATGTGCATAAAGAACACTGGTGAAGAAGTCAGCAGATTCATTTGAAGGCTCAGATTCCATGCTCACGAACAACTAACATCAAGAATGTTAAGAAATTCTCCAAGTCAAGATCCTTTGCTCAAAAATAACATCGATAGGTTGTTATCCTACCCCCTAGATTGTTTTAAATATAAAAGGATGTAATTGCATGAAAACATTTGGAACGACTGATGTTTTATGTGAGCAGTGCCCTAATGGAAGTGTCAAAACCAGACTTTTAGAATGGGGATTACTGGTAAGCCCACTAGTTCTACTGAGTGAGAATTGTCCATGAGATTATGTTTGGACGAATTGATAATATAACCTGGGGCTCATTATCACCCCGACAAGAAAACCATGATTCATCGCTTATTACTCAGTTGGATCATTTGGCATTTAGCATATGTTAATTTCTTTTTACTTTACATTTTACCCCCACAAAGGAATTAAAGCTTATGAATCAAAATGCTTAGTACAAAACTTCTTTTCAATCTCATGGAAATCAACACAATTCTTACCACATAGCAGCTGATCAATAGGTAAGTTTTACAGATAATAAAGACAAAAGTAAGATTCTAAAAGTGTTCTGAAATAATGCCAAGGCGGATGCAATAAAAATGAGACATACATTTATCATGGATTTGAGCCATGTACTAGTGTCTTGAATTTAAATAATTAAGTAGAGTCATAAAAAGGGAATCGGTAATGCAGTTTGGGGCCAAGGTGAGAAGCAGGCGATCGCTCTGCACTTACTGTCCCATGAAGAACTGTGGCATCGCAATGAGCAGTGTCCCGACTCCCATGATTAGACACCCCGCTCCGATTATTTTTGGCCTGTGAAGTTTTGCTCCAAAGTAGCTAACAAATGTTATAACTAAGAGATTCCCTTTGGAGAAAAACAATGAAATGATCACACGTAAGATCATTTAGAAAATGTCATTGGCATACTTATAAAACCACATGTATATAAGTACATGCATGAATGCTGACAGGAGGTAAAAGATCTAGCAACGTTTTGTTTTGACAGCAACATGCACCCAGTCCATTTCCCCCATTGTTTGCCTGTCCTTTCTTTAATCTTCACCCTGTCTTTACTCCTTTGTGAAAATCTTTTCACTATCTATCTTCCTACTTCCTTTTCTCCCAGCCTAGTTTTTGTCCTTTTTGAGCACTGAATTAAAAAAAAAAAAGTCAGGTTCTTCAGTTATTAAAGTTTCCACTAATTTTTAAAGAAGCAAAGCTCCCAATTGTTCTTGAAATAAACATTACATCACCTCTACATACCTGTTATTCCCTGTGGAGAATGTAAAAAAGCATACTTTACTCATTTTATTCTATCAAATTATGAAACCCATTTACACAAATTCTTTAAAGCTTTGTTCTTATTTATGTTATTTGAAGACAAAACTCAAAATAAAAACCAAAATGACTTCACAAAGACTTCAGAAACACACCTCTTTTATCACTTCAGTGTAAACCTGTAACACACCTTTTATGAAAAACAAAGTCTCCATGAAGAATACAATTAGTACACTAGTCTACTTTAGTATATTCCATAATATATATATTTAGGTGTCTTGAAAGATAAAGAATATGCTTTTTGGAAGTGGGAATGAGGCCTTTCTAAATGTCTCTAGTGAAACATGCAATAGATTATTATTTCATTGGTGATGGATATTACTGATGAAATATGCCTTATGCCAGGTGTTCTCATGCTTTGGTATACATGAACATTACTGAGATGGGTAGTTGGAGAAATCTGACTTGTTAAACAGATAGATTCTTGGCATTCTGATTACCTGGATCAGGGTCCAGGCCACGAAACCTGCATTGTTTATGCTAGCTCAAGTGTCTTGACTGGAGGGAATTCCTGACACATGCTTTGATGACCATTGCTCAGGATGTTAGAGTTTCAAGCCCTTTATGATGTCGTGCCTCCCATGTGGGCTGCTAACCACAAGGTCAGCTGTCCAGTAGAGGCCTTCTCTGTCCATCCAGAACCTCACAGGGGCAGTTCCACCCTGTCCCACAGGTTCACGATGTCAGAATGGGCTCGATGGCGATGAGGTTTTCTTGAATATAGTTTTATCCATTTTCATTTGTGATACTTATTTTAAAACATACAGTGCTAGCTAGAGTAAGATTTCAGCAATCCTTTAATAATTGATTATGATGGCTGAGGGGTGGCTTTGCCTAGGAACTCTCCTCTACGTTGTCAATTGTCCAGCCAGTGTTTCCTTACATCTGTAACGCATCTTGTCATTGACGACTGTGTAGTCAAATCTCCAGCTTAGTCAATGGAAGAAAGAGCAGTGATTTTTTTTTAGCCTTGAGGACAGTCATAATGACAATCAGAAAAGACACTTGCACATTGACTCAAGACATTCTGACTCTGGGACAAATTAAGGTTTTTTTAAATTTTCTTATTTTAAAAAAAAGTAATTATGTCTGAGAGTTCCCATTTGATATTTAAGTATTTAGTCGGAGATATTTTATATTACCTTAATAGTTACCTCTAGATTTTTGTTAATGAGTTACAAAAAATCCAAAGTGTGGTGAAAGATAACTTTCAATGTATATGTAATGCCTACCTTCCTTCCTTCTGGCTACCCTACCAACACTTCCATGAGGAAGGACTCAGGTTTGCAAGGCTGCTTCCATGTTGCATGTCATTTGTATATCCATTAAAGTTCAATTATTTCTCATTTACTACAACTCCTTTTGGTAGGATGATGGCAAACATTACTCAAACTGAGATGTGTACTATGAACTTGAAAACACAAATTGTTCAGCAGTAGGAAAAAACAAATCCCTTCACTTTTCTGAAAATTCATCATGGGAAGCTGACACAGGAGCAATTAGAAATGTCCATTGCCTTGTCTCTGAGTCCCCAAGAGGCAGCAAAGACAACAGAGGGTTCTATTTTGTTTATTTCAAGAAACACCGAGGAGCTGAAATTTCTCAATTCAGGAAGTAAGTAGCTGGGATTATACTTTTAAAGTACTACAGCACAAATAGTGACTAACATTACTTGGGTCTTTTCAAGCTGCATGAAGTTAGTTGCTAATCAAAGAGACACTGGAGAGTAGAATTTTCATTGCCAGCTTTGATCTGTTGTTCTTGTTAATTGAATTCCCTTTCTTATCCCCCTATCTAGTTTTTAGACAGAAGGCAAAACCCTTTAATGGTTTAATATCTTCTTAAAACATTGTAATACATTTTCAGAGTCCATTTAGATTCTTCCAAAACATTTTAATGGAATCCTAGGGCTAACAGGATACATAAGGGTTCTATAACAAGATTCCCAGCACTCCCCTGCAACCCCCGCCCCCCCCATATGCACTTTACATTGACAGTACCACCAATCTCTTACTTTCTTTCCTCCAAGAAACTCCAATTGTGGGATCTAAATCATAAGTCATACAACAATAAGCTCTTGGGCTAGGGAACTTGTCTATTGGCCTGAGCAGGCAATCTGCCTCTACAATAACATTAAAAACCTGCGAAGCCCAAAGTTATGCAGTCGATTCTGACTGGAGTCATAGGAGAACTGCCCCATAGGGTTTCCAAGGCCATGCTTCTGTATCGCAGCAGACTGTAACGTTTTTCTCATGTAAGCAGAGGGTGAGGTGGAAATACTGCCATCTTTAGCTTAGCAGCCAAGCACTAAACCGCTGCAACTCTAACGCTCCTTAATGTAACATAAAGCAACGTCATATTCAGTCCAGATCAAACTTTCCAAATACAGAACTAAGACAGCCAGAACATTTTTGAGCCACGCCTAGAAGGCCAGGAGCTTAAAAATAAGACCAGGTATCTGCCATACTTACCAATTTCAAAACTACCATCAATAACTCCCACCAGTGAAGAAGGAATATCAAACCTTCTCTCTATCTGAGTGATGGTGCTCTTCAGATAGCCTTCCGTCAATGCTTTGGCAAAATAAACAAAAGACAGCGCACCAAGGAACACCTGGAATAGATGACAGTTGCCAATTTAGTCCGAATCCAGTTTGACACACCGTTGGAGAGCTCATAAGCAAAAAGATGAAGACCAGAATTGCGATTGTGGAATCTAAAAGCAGAGTTTCTTATGCACAATTCAAAAGAGCATGGCTAGTACCAGGTTTCACAAGGCAAAGGTTATAGATAATAAGTTACCTAACTTTTAGAAGCACTAATTAGCAGGCTTCTAGAGATTTATGTAATCAGGAGGCTCTGCTCTCTAACTCCTGCAATTCCACACATTCAGACATTTGGTTATCTGAGCGCTGCTCAGCAGGGCTTGATCACCTCACACCTGCACCATTTGTCTTCTTAAGCAAACTGAAATCTCAAAGAAGAAATGATTTTGAAGGACAGTTTCATAAACTAATGAAAAAACCAGTTATAGTCATCTGGATTTCTCTGACTCATTCATTGCCCTCTGACTATAAACGACGGAACTGCCCGTAGGTTTGGACAGAATGTGGAAGCTGCATGCTTCCCAATTTGTGAATTGTAGACCAAATAATAAATACGTCTTTAGTATCATTTATAACTTCCTATTCTCAGGATCCCTGGTGGTGGAAAGGTTGTGTGTTGGGTGGCAATCCACATGGTCGGCAGTTTGAAACCACCAACGTCATGTGAAAAAGACGGGGTTTTCTACTCCCTGTTTTTGACAGTTACTGTCTCAGAAACCCACGGGGGGTGGGGGGGGTGGGAGTGGGGGGTGGAGTCTTCGGAGTTCTTTTACAATACAAGCTCAAAATAATGTCAAAATGGTGTCAGGCTACTTAGCATGAAAGGTTAAATTCATGTACTATGGTAGATCTACCCCCCAGCCTGAAGTACACGTTGATTTTTAAAATTCAAATTCTTTTTGAAATAATAGATCTTTTCAAAATGCATGTTGGTTTTAAAAAAAATGATTCCTTCTGGTCCCACCCCTAGACCTGTAATTGGGCTTTTTAAAGAGTCTTGCTTTGAAAAGAATATTCAGTGTATGTGGAGGCAAAGAAAAGGGAGAGCCAGAGATAAGAATACTAAACAAATGAATCCTACGAATCAAAGAGCGTCTCATAATGTTGCATTTCACAATAATGGTATGTGCACGTTACAATAGACTGAAAAAAGACAACTATTATTGGAGAGAAAAAATGGAACTACTGTTTCTCACATTTAAGTTCACACTCAAGTTAACTTTTAAGAACATGGAGTAAAGAGTGTTTTAAAAACAAAGATCAAAAAGCCCATCTGTTAGACAATGGAACCTACCCCCACAGAGGGGTCGCAGGGAAGGGACGAGTGAATCAGTGTGCAGTAGAGCAGCTATGGATCACACAATATACCTCTGATCCCTTGAGGCTTCCTCACCCCACCCCCCCCACTATCATGACCCCAGTGCTGCTTCCCACTCTGGACTGTACGGGAGCATGTATACAGATACAGGCAAGAGATAAAACTCACAACACACAGAACCCAGAAATAATAATGGGAATAGAGATACCAAAAGGGTAGAGGAAGGGGGTGAGAGGAGGGGAGGAAGGGGTACAGATCACAATGAATTACACATAACCACACAACCCTCTCCAGGGGCAAGAACAACAGAAACCAGAGGGGAAGGGAGAGAGCGGTCAGTGTGAGAGAGGAAAATAATAACAATCTATAATCTAACAAGGGGCCATGAAGGTGGGGGGGGGGGAAGAAAGAGGATATGATCCTAAGGGCTCATTAGAGAGTAAATGTCTAGAAAAAAATGATGACAATATATGTACAACTATGTCTGATACAACTGATGTATGGATTGTAACCAGAGTAAGAACCCCCAATAAAATTATCTTTTTAAAAACAACAACAACAACAACATAGATGAGAAGGTTGAGGGGAGAGGGAGAAGAGAGACAACCACAACAGAAACAACCAGCAGGTGACACAACGTGGAGAGCGCAACCCACAACGTTGGCCATTGTGTCCTCGGGCTGTGGAACCCAGACCGGAGTTTTGTTGTAAATATTTTCACCGAAGTAAAAGAATTCAGAACAAAAAGATCGTGTTGCTGTTCGGTGCCCTGCAGTTGATCTCAACCTACCATGACCCGAAGCAGGAAACCATTATTGAATAAGTTTTATCTACAAGGTCAGAGAGAGATTCTTAACAAAGGAGCAAGGCGTGGTTTTCAAAAATTGTGCCTAAGATTGGTTTAAAAAAGGAGGAGGGAGGGATTCTCACTTCCACTTAGATTATACTGAAGATATCAGAAGAGAGAGTCAAGAATGTCTCCTCCACCGAACTGTTTGTAACTTTACCTTTAGCTCACCACGGCAAGCTTGTTTTTCCTCGGGGCAGGCATAGTCTGCTTTTAAGGAGGATCGGCCAGCAGGCTGCACTGAATTTTTGCAGAATAACTGGATATTTTCTTTGGATGAAGTGTCCATTATGAAAATGTTCCTTGACTTTGACCTGTCAAAACAGATTAAAAAAAATTAAGCACTCATTTCGAACCTATAAAATTGACTACCTAGTTTTATTCCCCAGTGCACTACACTCCTGTAGACACAATCTTGAAGTGAAGCTATCTTTTGTTACCACAGTATATTGGCAACAATTTTCAATTAAAATCTACCAGGATATTCGACTAACCAGTCCTACTATTGAGACTCTAGCCGGCATTCTTTCCTAAGCCCTTCAGTGTAAGCCTAATAATGGGAAAGAATCAATTTAAATGTTGTCTTTGGAATAAATAATGAGGTAGAATTTTGTTAGCTTTGTGGTCTTGCCAGCTTCAACTAGCAGCAAACAGGGAAGGAAGACGAGGAATGTAGTCATTTGCATGTTGATTCGTTAGGCTTCAGTCTCTACACCATCTTCTCTGTAGAGAGTGTAGAAAGCACAGGCATCTGTCATAGATCGCGATAGACAAGTTGTGATTCTCACACATCAGAAGTACCCAAAGTAAGGCTTAAAATAGGTGAAAAGAAGTAAACTACCTGTGTGTATCATTTATTGTAATAAATAAAGATGGAAAATTATTTCTACTGCATGCTTATATATAATTCAGTTGAAAGTACAGTCTTTTAGTCTGCCTTGCAGTAGAGGAGGAAGCCTCCCATCCTATGTTTAATTTTTGCTTCCAATCCTCCCTTTAAGCTTCATACTCTACTTAACCCTGAACTGTATCCTATACTCTAAATTTATCTTCTCTTTGTTCACATCAATATTTTGCACTGTATACCCCCACTTCTTTGGGATTCAGCATAGCTAAGTACATGCATAGTTCAGTACCTATCTGATAAACTAATCTACTTTGAAAATGTATGGCCTTTAAATCAATTCCAATTAATAGTGACCCCATATGTTAAAGAGTAGAACTGCTTCATAGAATTTTCCTGGCTGAAATCTCTCTGGAAGCAGATCAGCAGGTCTTTCTTCCGGAGTGCCACCCACCTTTACAAACCATCCTAGGGGTCTCTCAACCTAAATAAAGGGATTTTAATGTAGAGTAATTTCTGGATCAGTTTAAGGATTATCAGATAAGGACGTTGTATGTCAATGGAGATTTTCTACACCATTGTTACACTAACTAAAGCAATAACACTTAAGAGTCAACATGCCATGTGCTGTAGTATAAATTTAGATTTATTCTGCCTGTGTATCTATCACTGTGACTATGCATTGGAGTCATGCTGTTGTGTACTCACTAAATTTTATCCTTAATAGTTTTAATTCATAAATAGCTCACACTGAAAATGAAGAAATAGTACAATCACTTTGTTTTAAAATACAGAGGTAAATATCAAAGAAAGACCTAAACAATTAAAAGCGGGTTCTTCCAGGGAGTGGGAAATTAGTTGAGAAAGGATGGGCTAGGATGTGATGAGATTTTCTGCTCCTTTTTGATTGATTACTTCAGAAAACCATAGGGGAAGTTCTACTCTGTCCTGCAGGGTCACTATGAGTTAGAATCCGCAGTGAGTGCTTGGCTTGTAAATAATAAAATCCTACCAAAAATTAATATAATAATATATAATATAATAATAAGGGTTCCTGAGGGGTGGAGTAGGGGAGGGGATATCAAAGAGTTCAAGAAGAAAGAAAATGTTTTGAAACTGATGGTGGCAGTAATTTTACAATTATGCTTGATCTAATTGAATTATGGATTGTTATAATATCTGTAAGAACACACACAAAAAAGAGAAAAAATCCCTAATATTAGCAAGTCAACTTTAATGAATATTCTAAAAGTACAGCAATTGGTTAATAGTAGAAACTCTTATTATCCTAAATCATCACATTATAAGAATTCAAAGTGAAAAATTATAAAATATCTGTAGATATAATACAATAAAATTCAGCAATCATTCCTAATGAAAATAACAACAGTAAAACAACAAATTCTAGGAATAAAAAAATAATTCCTCTTTATCATCTCTGTCATATCAACAGTCAACTCTATACCTCCCCTGACTCACTAAACAAACTTTCCAGATAGAACATTGATGGCTCAGTGGTAGAATGTTTTGCCTTCTAAGTGGGACCCTTGGGCTCATTTCTAGCCAAGGCACCTCAAGTTCCAATGCACCCCTCTGTGAGTGGAGGATTATTGCATGTCGCTATGATGCTGAATAGGCCTCAGCAGAGCTTCTGGATGAAGACAGTCCAGGGAGAAAGGTCTGGAGACCTCCATAAGTCTGATCATTAGCCAATGCATCACCAAGGTCTGCGCTGCAGCCAGTTATGGTTAATGCAAGAGGGGCCATGGGGCCATTCCACTGAGCATATTGTTGTCAAGAGTTGGGGATCTGACTCAAGGGAAATGAGCAATAATGACAATTTTCCCAAGGCCAAACTTCCTCAGAACAATGAAAAAAAATATTGAGAAACATTGGCTTGTACGATGTTTACTAGATTTCTCTACTTCAAAAGTGCTGAGTATTTTTAATTGAATTTTTAGAGAGACTCCTTGCTTATAAAGAGACCAAGAAACCAATGTATCTAAAACTCCAACAAGTTGTCATTATATCCATGCAGTAAAAATGTTGAAGTCTCTGGAGATCAGAGCAAAAAAAATAAATACTGTTATATAGAACTATATACATTACAGAGATAATTTTAAAGATAGATTCTACAAAACAGTATGTCTAACACCTTTGTTTCTAAGAAGAACACACACATATACTCACATTTGAATATATAGACAAACACTAGCTTCTGAAAGTTTATAAAGAATGGTTAATAATGATTATTTTTGGTTTAGGTAGAATATTTTTAAGGGACACTTTTTATATCCATATTTTCCAATATGTAGTCACTGAATATTTAGTGCTCTTAAAAATAATAAAAATTTGATATTTCTGAGTAAGAAATGTGTATATTATAAAAAACTTAAAATACAAAACAAATTGTAGTAAGTTCACAATTTAAATTAGATATTGGTTCAATAATTAAACTATATAATTCAAATTAATCTATTGATTTTGAGGTTCAGATAGTATATCATTTATCAGCCATAATGCAAGCTCATTACCAGAAGATGCAAGTAAAATGCTTAATCTTGACATGTACTCTCAGCTATATTTGACTATATATGAATGCAGTCACTCATCCTTAAACATTTTAAAGGGCTACTTACATCTTGACTATTAAAGAGAAAAAAATCATTTGGAAATAACTTAAAATACTAAAATATAATTAATATCATTATACTCACAATTATTGACATAAAATCACTAATTAGAATAAGAAGTGATAACAAAAACAAGACAGCTACTATCATTCTAATTGATGTTTCATTGGGGCAAAATAAAATACAGCTTAAAATATTGGAAATACTGGAAACATAATTTCATCTTAATGACAAACATGCAGATCATCTCAGGTATATTCTATTCCCAAGAAACTATGATTCCTTAACCATAGCAAGCTTCATGTTTACCCCAGAAGGGAAAGGAAGCCAACGGCACAAGGAAGTCTTGGCTGTGCAGACTCTCTCCTCATTTGAAATTTCAGAAACAGAGAAAGCACATACAGTTATTTAGAAGGATTGGCATTTGGAAAAGCCTCATTTCTTCTGTTGCTACTAGGATGCACTACTCCAGGAAAAGATTCATGGGAAGTTTTTATCTGACACCTGAATTTGAAGTATAAATGTTTTTTGAAAGCCAAAGAAAATCAGGTCAAGCAGATTTTTATGAATTTTAGCTTTCAGAAAAAGAAAATTCAATTTATTTCAGTCTTCAAAGAGTGCAGATGGCTTGGAAAGGAAGGTTGTACTTGGATCAGGCAGCAGCACTCGACCTCTGTGCTCTGATCCATTGACTTATATTTTATTCAGTAACCCTCAAGGGCAGCTGCAGAGAGAGCCATACAGGCACCTACACCTCATCATTCTCATTTCTTAGTCATCTTGCCTGAGGGACACTTCTGTACAGAAACGTTTCTAGGAAAAATAGCATCCATGGCAATTGGTTTGAAATTGTCTCTCACAGATACAGATGGAAATTGTGATAATCAACAGCAGCTGCTCACTGGTCCTCCATCTCCCGGGCATGTGCCATACCTCCCATGCCTTAGATACATACAGGTCTGCTTCTGTATAAACTTCTCTCCTGAACACCAGGATCCTTGCTCGGAAAACTAACCTTCTGATACTTGTCCAGGAATACGTATTACTTAGAAAGCTGATTCTCATGATTCAATTACTGATTTGAATCAGTTCCACAGATCTTACTAAGCATATTCAATAAGTAAGAAACATCACACATTGAGTCACATAATTCCCCTTGGACAGAAAATGATATGGCTCAAGAAGTTGAGGGACCTTTCAAAAGATACCCAACTAATAAGACTCAGAGTAAAATTTTAAGGCAGACCTGAGTTTATCTGCATGTCTCTAACTTTAACCAAATCATCTTCTGTCTCCACCAACGTACAGAGGGGAGCATCACTTTGCAATAAGAACTTGTATGGCTCTGGCACAAAGTGAGAATCCGGAGTAATTGTCACATACTAGAAAAGAAACAAATCTTACCTGGAGGTGGCGATCAGACAGCCAGTGCCTCTCAATGAGCTCAGCAAGAGACAGGACCGCAGTCCTTAGACTGACAGGGGATTCAGAGGTGACTTCTACAACAGCTTCCTGTGGGTTTGCCAGGTGACGAGAGCCTGGACAGATGGACAGAATAAGACAGAGTAGTTAGAAGAAAGAAAAGGTGAAGGACATAGTTTCACCTCTGGGCAATCTTGTCTCTTTCTCTTTCCTCCTGGCCTCTTTTCTCTGGCAGACTGCGGAGAACTGGCAAGGCTGGCAAAGCCACTGACATGCATCTCAGCTCCCAGGGCACAGAAAGAGCTGAAGCCTTTGAGCCATTTCTTTGCAACTTGCTGCAAGTTTAAGGCCACACGTGATAAAGCTTTTTTTATGGGAGAGTGAAAAAAGAAAAGACCACTTGTGATCTTACTTGCTGATCCCAGAAAACATAGCTCTGTAGGGGGCCAGTGGGTAAGGGAACAGGAGAAAGAGGAGGGAAAAGCTTGTAACAAATATCTCTCTCCTTCTTCCAAGAAATTTTAAGCCAGCCAATCCTTGGGGACATCAATGGGATCCTTTTGTTTTGCTTTGTTTTTTTAAGGCTAGGGCTAAATCTCTGCATGATATTTTTCCCTTTGAGATTCTAGACTCTGCAAGGAGCACGTATTAGGTCAGTATCAAGACTCTGCTGTTTTTTCCAGAAAGAGTTGATTCTCAAAGAGATTCTCAGTTGCTCACATGCACAATTCTAAGAGTCTTGAAACTAGACGGGGAGAAACAATGATCTTTGGGCATTTCATTGTTGATTGTACCTAATTCCAAAGAATGAGAATCCTTCTTACACTGAGAAATTTTATAACTATTTTTAAAGGATTTGGAAGTGTTGGCTTGCTTTTGGTTTACACTTACCAGTGAATTTGGTACTGGATTGTTCAAAATTCCCTGTATTATGTGTTATTGACTGTAGTATGACTCTGACTCTGGGTTACTCACTTAACTTAGTTACTGAGTTTCAACTTTCTGCAATAAAAAATGTTTTATTAAAACAACCAACAAAACCCCAACACTCACTTCATTGTTGTTAAGATGAAAAGATCTCATGCATTAGCAAGCACTTCAAGCATAATAATAATGTACCGAATTAGTAAAAGGAATCATCATCACACATGTCTAATTTTATCTGGCACATTGGTAGGATTGCTAATTAACATTATTATAAATTCATGAACCACATTTTTTAAGATGAAAGGAAAATAAGGGTTTATCAAACTGATCAATGAAACAATGGTGTATTCAGACTCTGGACACTCAAATATTTATTTTACTAATCAGTCTTCATCATTAGAAATAATGAACACGAGACTTCCCAGAAGGTGGAGACTGAGCAACACATACCAGAGGGCCTGGGCAGAAATCAGTACAGTAGAGTTACTAAGAGGGAAATTGAACACTTCTGGTTCACTGGAGGAGCATTATAAAGATAAGTAGGCACAGATCCACAAGGTTTTGAGGGGCTGGGGGCTTTGGGCTTACCATAGTAGATAGAGATGGCTAGAGTTTGACCTTAGCCCTGCCACTGTCTCAGTTGGGGCTGGAATCACTTGGAGCCAGCGCAGGGGTTTTATCACAACACAGCCACAGCTTGCCGCCACCTCAGAGCAGGGAGTAAAC